AAGATTGAACCTATCCTCTCATGGTTCAATATCAAGGACTCAGATCACGATCCTGCACAATTCAATCACCAAACACAGTAAAAACACGCCACAATCAATCGTATTCCACACAATCCTAATCCGAGAGCCTATGGTCACGCACTCACCTTTGCAAACGGATTAAAACGAGGAAACAAGGCACTCCCGACACGACCCGAGCAGAAGGGAATAACTCGCGACTCCCTTTTCCAAATCAATATCTGAAACCTGATCTGGAAACTAGACACCAAGAGCTTCGCAACGGTGTATAGAATGTCTCCTAACTCCAAACAGATCGACGGGAAAACAGCCCACAATCTCGCTAATCGAAACTGGAAAAACAGAGATTTCAGAAACAACACCCTAAAATCAAACGAACACAGAGAACGGAGATTACCTCCAAATCAGGATCCAAAACCTAATACAAAAACTAGACAAAGAGAGCTTTCCAACGGCATAAGGATTATCTCCTGATTCTCTCTGGTTCGACGGGAATCCTCCCTCGAAGTGGACTGATCGCAGACTCGAGACTGCAGAAACCTCACACAATCCAACGGCCATAACTCAGCGAATACTCATTCAAAAGACACGCGGTTTCCACCCACATCAAGAGAAAAGATAGGAGAACTTACCCTCAAAGTCTCACTCTGATCCGATCCGATCTTCCCCGCCAATCATCTCCTCCAAAAACCCGAGCATAACTGTTTCTCTCTCAAGAAAAACACTTCTCTCACAAAACTCTCTAAAACTCTTTCTCTGATCAAATTCTCGGCCAACCCCAAGAGAAATTGCTTTTCTCTGCTTAAATACGGAACCCTAGGTTCCCTAAACCAACCCAAACCAAACCCGATCAGAAATCAAAACCACACGGTCCAATTTAAGCATGTGTCGCTTGACACAAACCTCTTGTGTCGCGCGACACAGCTCCAGCAAACAGATTCCTTCGCGAATTAAACACACGTGTCAATCGACACATAACCAAAAATCACATTTTTGGTTCACGGGCGTTACAAAAAATACCACTAATTATGAATTTTTTAAAACCTAAATCTTAAAATTCTAAACACTAGAAAATGTTTTGACCTCTAACAGACCCTAAACCCTCAAAACGAAATCTTAATAAAACATAGTTAACCCAAACATAAGTAATATAACGAATAAATAATTTTGAAAAAGTAACATTTTTGTAAAGATTTTGAAATTGTGTCATTTTTGAAAAGTGGCATTTCTCAAAACTTCTCAGTATTTATCATTATTTTCTAGGTTTTCTTATTTAAAATAATATTATAATAAAACAATAATTCAATTAAATATAATTTAAATTTGAAAAAATTATAAAAATAACTGATGTTATAATTTATAAATGTAATATATACATACAATGGATTTAAAAAAAAATTTACATAATTTATGTAATTATAAAACA